AGTCCGTTAAAATGTCTATTTCGATGATTCTTAAACATTTTTATTTAATTTTTTTTATTATTTTAATTTTTTACGTGCAACTTATTTTCGTCAAAGTAAACCCCAGACATAACGACAATAGTTCACATCGAAATGTATTATCCGTATTTATAGTTACGAATACTTTCAGACCTTTAATACGTTTAACGTTTTAATTCGAAGTTCGAGTACAATCGAAACGCACACAGCGCCGCGCATGCACGAATGATTATTTTTATATTGTCGGTGCACGCACACCTATCCTGTCCATCTAACCGTCGAAAAGAGTCGAGTTCTGTTCTGCGCCACCTAACTTTCCTCATTGGTCTGTTTGGAATTACCTTATTACCCCGTTTCTGTGTAAGATATCGTGATTCTTTCAAAAAGGTTAACCTACTTGACCCGGTCATTGTTTGATTTATGTAATTGCCAAATATCCTATATCTAATATTATAGTTTTTAATTTATACTTTAATTAATATTGTGCACCCAACCCTGGATTATTTATTACGTAATTGGTTGGCCACGTATATTCTGTATTTTGCAGAACCACTTTTCATGTATGTTATATTCCATCGTGTGCTTTGTATTTACGCATTGTTAGGAATATGCCCATAATTCTTTAGCTATTGTAATCGTACTACTAGTGCCTATTATAAGTGTTATTCTAATATCAATCATGTGATATGTGGTCCCCCATACCAGTGGCGTATACAAGGGGGGTGTTTGGTAGATATGACACCCCCCTTGAGTCGTATCATATATTACAACAGCGGTTACCAACCTTTTTAGTAGTGCGGACCACCAATTTCGTAGAAAATGTTTGAGGCCCACCAATAGTTATATATGTATAATATGCACATACGTCAGTTATTACAATTTATTTATTAAAAAACAATTGTTTATCAAAAAATAGAACTTCATTGAAGTAGATTATTCAAGAGTTAAACAATTTAATGTAATTTTGGATTGTTCCCAATGAGAGAATCAATATTTGGATTAAAAATGAAAAGTTTTAGCCTTAAATCACTCAAAATTCAATTTATTCCTACATTTATTTTTTAAAAAGTAGAAAAAGCTCGTTCACAAAGACACACAGGTTGTCGAAATATAGCCCACCAAATTTCTAAGTAAAATTTTAGAAATTGCTGGAAAGTCTCGCCGAATATTTAAGTATAATGGTAATAATGGTGTAGTTTTAAAAAACAAATTTAGAGTCTGATCACATTAGAGTTCAATCAACGAATCTTCTTCACTTGCTGATATTTAATAAGTAAGTAATGTTACTAAAATATGATTCACGGCCCAGTACCACCTGCTCGCTGCTCACTTGTGGGCCGCGGCCCATGGGTTGGGAACCACTATATTACATTTTTATAGGAATATAGGTAAATCAATAATTCAATATGAAATAATACTAATTACATATATACAGGTTTAACATTATCGCGATTGCGACAATACGTGACGAAAATTATTCGTTTACGTTTTCGTGCAACACAAAACATTTAATAATAATAGGTATTGTAGCATCGAATACTGATATTCGAATAGTCAAATATTCGAATAATTTATGGTAAAGCTATCCGAATTCGAATATACATTACATCTCTATTACAGATATTATGTATACATATTAATTAATTAAAATAAAAGTTGTAGTTTGTACATATTATATATAATATTTAATAATTACAATTAACACCCCCCTTCAGAAAATCCTAGCTCCGCCACTGCCCAATACAATAATACTTGTAAGGACCTATGTAAAAAAACGAAAAGTCGATATACACTTTCTTAATTTTGCTAACTTTATATAATAAAAATGTTTACAATTTTAATAATATATAATAAAAAATGTTCATATTACAACCAGGCACGGATCCAGAGGGTGGGCTGGGTGGGCCCGAGCCCATCCAAAATTTTCAAAAACAATAATTGTAATTTTGAATATCGGCATTAAAATTGATTTTATCAAATATATCAGATAAAACGTATTAATCGTGCATGGTGAGTAACAAAATAACAATATATCTACCTTTTATAATAAGTTATTATTAATAACATGTAATTGTCCGTGTGATTAACGTGATTTTATCTAAATATCAATTGTCGTCATTCGAACGCTAATGGAACCCCGATAAGATATAATAAGTGTACGTAAAACTGGACCCTACCCGATCAGCAAATATTGTTAAATGACACGTGTACTCGTAATATTATTCTGTCTGCTGTCAACTTCCAATAAGCGATACTTAAATCCACATTTTAATTAAACAATTTAAATATTAAAATTTATTGGAAATCCATCCACGAATTGCTGACGTGCTGAGCACATACACCAAATAGGTAAGTTTTATTTTGTTTTTTTAACTATTTGTTAAGGCATACCTATTTATTTTATATTTAACAAATTGTGCAATTATTCATTATTGAATACTTACACGAAAACAAATACATATATGTACAGTATATATACGTAGTTTGTTATATTATTGTAATAAATAGTTACTCACATATAAGAACAATTTACCACTCTTTATATCTGAGATTCTAAAATCCTGTTTTATTTTATTTATAAATACTTTTTTTATAGGCCATGAAACATTTTCTTGTGCCCCTTTTACAATCGGATTAATCTGTAATTGAATCTGTTACTTCCAAAAAAATTCGTAAATCTTCTACTTCAATAGGTGTCATTGATCGCGATGTTCAAAACAATATTTTTGATATTAGTCAAAACATTGAAAAAGGGCCAAATCAACCCAACATTACGTTTCCAAGACGAAACATCGGCGGAAAACAGAGATCATTTAATATTTCGTGGTATTCAAAATACGAATGGCTAGAATATTCGAAAATAAGAGATTCATTAAATAAAATCATAATTTTACTGTATTTTCTTTTGTGGTTAAGTTTATGGGCCCACCCAAAAAAATATTCTTGGATCCGTGCCTGCTTACAATATAATAAGAGGGATATATAAGAATCGCACAGGTATGCATGAATATATATTTACAATAAATATTACTCATTACTGAGTTCACAAAGGTTTACAACATTCAGATAATAGTTCGGGTAACTCACAATGCTGTTATGTCAGTGGACGTACTAGGAGATTTACACAATTACCAACGTGATACTCATAGTATGCTATGCTAAAATATAGCGTCATTTATGGTAGCATCGAATGACTCTCTAGTACACACTGACACATAGTATGTAGGGAAATAACAGCACTGCGGACCACGGCAATGCTTCGTTGAATGTCGTATAATGCCGGTAGGGAAATGACGTCAGGAAACTCTGCTACTCCGGATATAGATGTCGAGCGGGCACTTCTCCTAGTGGTGGTTCGTTCAAACTCGAACGGCGACGGCTCCTTGACTCCTCGGATGCTTCTGAAATTGACGTTGATCTCCGCTACCCTCGATGGCGACGTTCCGTACGGCGGCTGTTGAGCAGCAGGGAAAAAGGTATAATTGTCTGAATACCAGATTATACGTGTTATACGGGATACGTATATCAACTCGTGATGGACACTACCGAGTGAAAACTATCTAACTATTCGGTAGTACTATCTATTCACTCGGTTGTTTAACCGATTAAATCGATTGTTTTCGGACTATTTAAACAATCGACAATCGAATACTTAAACAATCGACTATCGAAACAATCGATCGTTATCATTGAATTTGAGTAATACTGAATTAGTATCAATTCTTGTTTTTTGATTCTTCGATTTCCGGATCTATTTTACTGTAGGTTTTAAAATTATTTAAAATAACCATAAAAAATCTAATGGTACAACTAATTTATTGGATCATCTAAAAAGAAGTATATATGCCTGGTTTTGTACTTGTGGTTTGTGACTTAGTGATTGATTTCCAATGTTCAGTGATTTCAGCAGACATCAAATGGCATTGCAAGAATTCGATCAACAATTTCCAACAATTAACTAACTAGTAGTGATTGGCCGGGTCCAGACGGAGCAGCTTTTGCTGCACGGCATGAGTCTGAATACATTTTCCGCGGCTTTTTTTTATGCTACGCGGCATAATTTCCGATCGGCCTAGTAGGCGGTCTATATCAAAGGAAAGCCGCGCGGCTTATGCCGCTCGCCTATGCCGCGTGTGTGTGGACGTATTTTCGACAAAGCCTCTCGGCATCAATACTTATTTTCTAAATGGGTACAAATTATTAATTAATAACAAATCGAAAAATAAATTCCGCACCGTGTGGATGCGTATTTTCTGCGCGGCACGGGGCCGACGAAAGCCGCGCGGCAAAAGCTGCTCCGTCTGGACCCGGATATAGACATTATCGAGTGAAAACTAACGGACTATTTGGTAGTTTAAACTATCTATTCACTCAGTTGTTTAAATGATTACCTCGATTGTTTTCGGACTATATATTCATGTATAAAATAATATTCGATAGTTTCGATTGACTCTATTGTTTTTAAAACTATCGATTGTTAAATCTAGTCGGTAGCACCTATGTCCATTATGTCCATTGTTCATGTAATCATGTGCTCTAAATCAGCGGTTCTCAAACTGTGGTACGCGTACCACTAGTGGTACGCGAAAGACTACATGGTGGTACGCGGAAGGCCGCATGGTGGTAGGACGGAAAATTAAAAACAATTAATATTAGATTCTTAGCGTAGCGATGATTTTACAAGGTCATGTGTTTTTTTTAATACTCAAATAATAAAGGTTAGATTTCACGGGAAATACGTCAATAAATAAGATATCGTATAAAATCATTGATATTTATCGCATATGTACGTATATAAATTCTGATTATTTTATAATATATCTAATTATTTTATATGAATACTAAATATTTTTTCTTCGGCCGTTTAGTTTGTTGGTGTTAGTCAACGAGTTAGCAGTCGAGTTTATCTCTTTAAATATTTTTGTCGTACATTATACATATTTTCGTACATTATTTTATTTCAGTACTAAAAAAGTAAAAATATGGATAAGTGGCTAAATAGAGTAACAGACAATAAATCTACGTCTGAAAACTGTCCAGTAAGTTCTGCTTCAAAGTTGGAAAGCGCAAGTCAAGATGTGAATTATCCTATGAAAATAAGAAAATGTTTAAGAAAATATGATCCTGATTACATTAATATTGGATTCACGGTCATAGACGTAAGCAATGAACCTCGAACTCAATGTGTTATCTGTTTTGAAATTCTTTCTAACCAATGTATGAAACCGTCCTTATTAAAACGTCACCTTTCTACAAAACATTCGACGTTAGAAAACAAACCAAAGGACTATTTCGTTCGAAAATTGTCTGAGATGAAAAGCACGAAGAAAATTATATCATCTTTTAGCGGTAGTACTGAAAAAGCAGTGGAAGCATCTTTCTTAGTGAGCTTAAGAATAGCGAAGTGTGGAAAACCTCATACCATCGGCGAAGAACTGATTTTACCGGCGGCAAAAGATATGGTAACTTGTATGTTAGGTGTTCCGTCAGCTAAACAACTTGATATGATATCACTGTCAAATGATACAGTTCGCCGCAGGATTGAAAGTATGGCATTAAACGTTAAAGAAAAATTAATTGATCAAGTGAAAAATAGTGATTTTTTTTTCCATACAACTTGATGAAAGTACAGATGTATCAAACTATGCTCAACTTATGGTTTACGTGCGGTATGTATTTCAAACTGTAATTAAAGAGGATTTTTTATTTTGTGAAGCACTATCAACACGAACTACCGCTGACGAAATATTTAAAAAGTTGAACCACTTTTTTGTTGAAAATGGATTAAACTGGAAAAAGTGTGTTGGCTTCTGTTCTGACGGTGCTCGAGCTATGACAGGTAAACATGGAGGTGTTGCGAGTAAAATTAAATTGGTTACAGAAAATTGTACTTTCATACATTGCAGCATCCACAGGGAAGCTTTAGTAGTAAAACGTATGCCAGAACAATTTAAACTAGTACTCCAGGAAGCCATAAAGGTAGTCAATTTTATTAAATCTCGGGCTCTACAGTCTCGTTTATTTACAAAACTGTGTTCCGAAATGGGAAGTGATCACATTCAATTGCTTTTACATACGGAAGTGAGATGGCTCTCTCGAGGAAGAATGCTTAGCAGGTTATTTGAACTACATTCTGAGGTTCAGTTATTCCTAGGAGAGACTAATTTTGAACTCAAAGATAAATTGACAGATAACCTGTGGATAACAACATTGGCATACTTATCAGACATTTTCAATCGTCTCAATGTATTAAATTTAAGTTTACAAGGTAAATCAATAAACAGATTTTCAATGAATGACAAAATTAAGGCATTTATTAAGATAATTGAAATGATAAGTAATAATGTTTCGAATGAAAACCTATAGTCTTTTCCTAATTTGGAACAATTTGTGACAGAACATGAACTTCAAGTGGAAGCTGATCTCGTAAAAAACATAAGACACCATTGCAAAATGCTAAAAACAACGTTTGAAGAATATTTTAAAGAAGATTATTCTGAATTTTTTTGGATAAGAAACCCATTCATTTTGGATTTGGATGATATTCCTAAGACACTAACAAACAATGAAAAAGAATCTTTGATAGAATTGTCATGCGATGAAAGTTTGAAAATGGAATTTACTAAATTAGAATTGGGTGAGTTTTGGATAAAGATAAAAAACGAATATCCGTTGCTGTCTAAAAAAGCATTGTTATTTTTATTACCATTCACAACCACTTATCTTTGCGAAACTGGATTCTCCTCAATGATCGAAGTAAAAAATAAGTTTCGAAACAAACTGAATCTCGAACCAAATTTACGCTTAAAATTAAGTAACACTGAACCAGATATTTCATCGCTAATATCAAATCTACAAATCCATGGGTCTCATTGAAAATTTGTTATTTAATTCATATCTTAATTTTTAAACACTAATAAATTTAACTATGTAAAGTTTTTATTGTTCTATTTTTAATCATCAGTGGTACGCGACTGATTGATAATATACTTAAGTGGTACGCGAAAAAAAAAGTTTGAGAACCTCTGCTCTAAATAATTAACATTACCAGACTCCAATTCTATGAATTCGTACTTTGATGTGTCTACATAATATTATTGTACAACAAAATAAATATTAGGCGTGAAACGTACATTATTTATTAAAACCTTGTACTGTACACAGCGCACTCTCATCTACAACGTGTCCATCGTCAGACCGTCTTCATATTTTTCATAATTTTGTCTATGACTTTCAATTTTATTTTATTGGTGTTATATTTTATATTTTGAAATGGATGATTACATAATACAATCATTACCCAAGACCAAAAAACCAAAAGTAGACCTTTCCCTTTTCCACCAATACCCGTTTCCACCTAAAGTGTATCTTTCCCTTTTCCACCAAATAAGATAAAATACCTATACTTTTTATGAGTTTTTCGGATTGATGTTAAATATATATAGATATACACACAATATAATCAACGAATATTGTACATTTATTGTATTTAATTGTATGTAAAACCGTTATCGTACTTATGCATGTACTTTTATGTCCATTAACCATTATAATATCTAAATAGTCAAATAATTTATGAACAAGTGAAAAGATGGTACAGTTTAAATAGTACATTACAACTGCGTGTGTGTTAAAATAAAACGTAAATTTTAAAATTTATAATTCTATGATGGTTAAAATTATCGAAAGTAAACGTGAAAATAAAACACTAGTACTAAACAACTTTTAATTTTTTATTAGATCAGTTAACAAATATCAACTAATTATATATATATATATATTACAATTTATATAACTAAGGTATCGTATATCATAATATATTATTTTTTCATCTTTTTATATCTGACCATTTTTTTAAATAAAATTTAAAATTTTCCAACAACCTATATTGTATATATTATATAATGCCTTCACATTTATTGAATTAATAGTATATATTAAATAAAATTATTTCTGTGCTATAACTTTTAATTTAAGCATAGTATACAATTGTTTTGGTAAAAACGTGGTCAATATCTCATTTGGTGGAAACGGATATTGATGGAAAAGGGAATTATACACTTTTGGTGGAAACGGGCATCGCCCACCGGAAGAAGTAGAATTCTGGTCCGTTTTGATGACCTTATATATATATTTGTTCTGTTCTCAGGTACTCGTGATATATGTGAATAACATACGGTGTTGTATGAATAGCATGCGGGTCACAAACGGCGACGACCGCCGCCACGCTATCTCTTAAGATTAGTAATCGGTAATCGATTACACGATAATCTTAAAGGCGTAATTAACGATTAGACCGCACGGGCGGATGTACACCGTGTGCGCTCTCTATTGATATCAGATTAACCGATAATCTTAATGCGTAAATCATTGTTGCTCCGCAAGGGCGAGACCTACACATGTGATATAGATATGAGACTATGCTGTCTCGTTACAACTACATTTAACATTTGCAACGGGACTTCATTGGTTTTATTCCGAACAATCGGGTTCATACACTCATTTACTCGAATATTATATATTTATATATAATATACAAACTGTTTTCACAAAGGCGTAAAATTGTGGTTGCCTCTAATTTACGGAATTCATATTTTCTAATAATTGTCATTGATCTCTAAAATATCCAATTATCCTGCAACAAATAATCGATAAAGCTCATTATGTTTTAGTTTCGGGAGATTCGTTTGTTTTTCGTAATCCATACCGCATTATCGTGCTTACGTGGGACGCGGCGACGTCTATACTGTGCACACGTGGGCGACAATAACAGGACACGTACAGAAACACCATTGCGGTACAAAGGCGCGTACGGGTGAGATTCGGTCGATATTAACGCGCGCAAAACGCGTTCTCTGTCGCGCCGAACATATTGCATTGCGTTAATCGTCGTTGAAACGCCAAAACCGCGCGTTCCGTCCACTCATTACGGCGATTTATACGTATATGGGTACGAAGGCCGTGCGCACGACCGCACGTCATTTAACGGAACGTGAACGCTTGGAAACGATCGAGCCGACAATCGATCCGGTTTCACGCGACATTACATTAACGTTGTCGAAATATCAATGTGGCCAATGTCAAGTTACGCCACATCCGTATTTTTAACGTCTGCTCGCGCGAACGAAATCGCTCGTCCGATCGTTAAGTTCGAAAAATAGCACGATTTACGTGTTTCTAGTGTTCGTATAATTTTAGCGTTGAATGATTCACATTCGATAATGTTGGAGATTATTTGTCACGGAATAAACGTATGAGATTATTGATAGTTTTTGAAGGAAAAAACATCTTTTTAACAAAACTCGATATGTCATTACTTGAATTCCGTGGTATTAGAAAATGTAATTAACTATTCATAACTTATGATGTTTTTTGACACCGAATTGAAAAACAAATATTTTATAAAAAAATTAACCATAACTGAATCCAAGTGACTTTTCTCCATAGGATTGTACGGAAAGTTTTTTTTTTGTCATTCAATTAGATTTAAAAAAAACTGTTTGGTATTAGCAGTCGGGTGTTTTTCTGATCGAAAAGCACTTTTCGGAGTGTAGAAAAAAATACAAACGAAAATTTATATCCGATACCACTTTTGTTTTTAACTTTTAATTGATAATGCGCTTAATTAAATTAGTTTTCTCGCAGAAATGAATAAAGCTCTCCTGGGGAGTTAGTACCCGGATGAATTCAACATCATTGGACGCTATCAAACAATACAACTTGCCTAGTTTGGGTCGGTTTTGTCCCTCAAACGACTTTTTCGCATTCTAAATATAACAGTAAACAAAATAAGTTGACACAATAAAAAATAAATTAAAAACATGATGTAAAAAAGATATGATACCGATGTTATTCAACTACTATTATACTCTATATGTACATAAGTATAATATTTGGTATTGAAAAAATTTTATTTTGTTGTATACGACAACGCTCTAAGAGAGTGTTTCTCAACCTTTGTATAATGGCGACACACTATTAAAATATTTCATACTTTGCGACACATAGTAAAAAAAATAAGAATAATAGATAGTATTAAATATTTATAATTAGTTAATAATATATAAACTTATAATATATAATCAATTATAATATATAAAACAACAAAGAAAAATATAACATAGGTAAAACAGCATTTTAATGAGAAATTTGTGACTGATATTTCTTACATAATGTATCAATTCGTGGTGAAATCTTCGATAAGGCGAATCTTAACTCCTCTTCGACATTAATTAATCTTTCCCTTTTTTTGTTTTTAATTTCATTCAAAACAGAAAAAGCTACCTCGCACAAATATGATGTCGAAAATGGTAATAATACGGAATGAGCCAATTTTGTTAAGTTCGGATATTCTTTTTTTGTGTAAATCCAAAATTGGTTTAGCTCGAGCTCATTAAATTTCATTTGATGAGTGCGATCGTTTTTTAATTCTGCAAATTAGGTTTTAGTAACAAAAAAATATTGTTAATAAATTAAGAAAAAGTCTATTCGACTATAGAAGTAAATGACAACTGAGCATACAAATAAAGTGAGTTATTGATACGGTGCATGTTTTCAGTATAAATATACTATACGTATTCACTGTTTAAAAATAAACGAAAATATCAAAAACCAACATTTATAAATTAAGATGACACACAATAGGCGATTCGAACGCGATTAATCGTTCAAAATGACGATAATAATAATAACACAACGATAATAATACAATTTATTTTATGTCGATAGCTGAAAATCTATTTTTATTATCATGGAAATTATATCAAATACCTATTAATTTTTGTAAATTGTTAATAGTGTTAATAATGTTTTTTGTCATTTAATATTAGTACTTCACGCGACACATTTGGACTTGCTCAGCGAATCACCAGTGTGTCGCGACACACCGGTTGAGAAACACTGCTCTAAGTTTAAACTCTTCAGTACTTATTTCAATATTATTCTACTGTAATTCGTGAAAAATACCGATTGGTTTGGGATGTTACCGGTGAATGATGAGATTTTCAAAAGACCGTTGGATTTTTTGAGGTCACTTGATACATTTTTCCCCGTTATTTTGTACACTTAATAAAGGTTCTAGCCTACTAGTAGTATTTTTTGTTTTTATAACAAGATGAATATTTTCAAAATAAATGTTAAGCATTTTATTTACATTTTTTCGATTTTGAGGCATGACAATTTTATAACTAAGTTGAAGATATCAATATTATTTATCAATTTATATTTCCAACGTCAAAGGCATCCCCTAAAATCGGACACGGACATTTCGGCGCGAGGTATGTTTCAGCACTGGATTACACTAATTTACATAATACACAAATTTACTTCTATAAAATTAATATTATAATTCACTTTTATAGATATTGTCAAAAAATTTACAATTTTAAAAAAAAAAAATATGTCCTGTTTAATAAATAACAAATATAAAATAAATAATAAAATAGGTCTGTTATGTTAAATGTCAATATGACAATATCGTGCTTAGTAAATAATAAATATAAAATTAATAATACAATATCAATATGTCACTCTAATAATAAAATAAATATGTAGTACATAAATGTGTTATGCTTAAATTGTAAGCGATACCTCTTAAAAATGATAATATGGCTATATAATATCTTTATAAATCTTTATAAGGACACCGCCAAAACTTATTTTTGCCGTCCGTACTTAACTTATCAAAAATATACATGTACCCATCGTGAACAAAGATTTCTCGATTGCGAAATGTTTCCATTATGAAATACAATTGACGATAAATAAACGTAAACGTAAAATAATATAACTTCACCGAAGTAAAAGGAATACTGATCAGTAATCACGCAATTATCTTAGTGTCACCAGTTCCAATACAAACAAAACTAGATAATAATATGTAAAAAACCCAAGACGATAAAGCTATTGTATTTTTATTAAAGTTATACTGCGATAAGGTAGAGCAGTACGAATGTTATAACTTATTAGTATAGTGTATATAATTTTAGAAAATAACACCTGGCGCCGAAACGTACTTCACGCCGAAATGTCCTAGATCGACGTGTGTGAAGTTAGCCCCCCACTATAAAAAATACTTTCTAAAATAATAATTACTTTCTTAATTTGTAACTATTTGTAACCAAGTTTTTAGAATTTGTAACCTCATATTTTTCAAGCTACGGGTACTTTCTCAATGAGGGGCTAACTTCACGCATTCCCCCCCCAATTCAAGGAAATCGTCCAAAACAAATTGTAACTTATAAAACCCAATTTGTAACTATTTGTAACCAACTTTTTGAAATTTGTAACCTCTTCAATTTCGTGTAGTTATCGATTTCCCTATGGGGGGCTGCCCCCCCCCACTTCAATGAAATCATCCAAAACAAATTGTAACTTATAAAACTCAATTTGTAACTATTTGTAACCATCTTTTTAGAATTTGTAACCTCGGCCCTTCCGAGTAATTGTAAATTTTTCAATGAGGGGCTGGCCCCCCAATTCAACCGAATCGTCCAAAACAAGTTGTAACTTATAAAACTCAATTTGTAACTATTTGTAACCAACTTTTTGGAATTTGTAATCTCGGCCCTTTCGAGTCATTGTAAATTTCTCAATGAGGGGCTGGCCCCTCCAGTTCAACGGAATCGTCCAAAACAAGTTGTGAATTACAAAAATTCAATTGGTTACTATTTGTAACCAAATTTTTAGAATTTGTAATCTCATCAATTTTTAAGTACCGATGGATTTCCCAAAGAAGATAACTGAATAAAAAAATTAAGTTTTTAATTTATAATATCACCCAGCTCAATCAATTCGTCTAGAACAGATCGTAAGTCGAAGAAAATTAATGTTGATTTCAAAGAAAATATAATTTCAGATGACCAAGAAATAGTTGAAGAAAATGAAGATATTCAAAATAATGTTCAATGTCTTAATAATATTTCAAATAATATGGATACATTTATTAAAAGTATTAAAGAACGTGTAGCAGTTCTCTCCGATACATGTGGTGATTGTTTGAATGGGTACTTTTTACCAGGCTTATGTGCTTCTCTTCTTCGGATTACGAAAGATTTTCCTCTCTGGACAAACATAATGGCTAGATACTATAAATCAAAGTATGAAACGGCCACTTCAGCACCAGTCGAAGGATATTTTTCTCATTCTAAAAATTAATTGAGACAATCACTTAGCACCACAGACCGTTTTGTTGGTTCACATTTATTATCGATAGAAGAAGAATTGAAAATGGCCATATCATTACAAGTTAACAAAAATTAAGATTATAAATCAAAAAATGATTTTAAATCAAACAACAGCAGTATTGATATGATAAATGGGAATGAAACAAATAAGGAAATTTATATAAATAGTTATATAAGTAATGATGTTGAATCGGAATTTTATAGTGATAATGATATTTGTATCAATTCAGATAAATCTGATTTAAATATAATGATAACAGATGAACTGATGACACAAGAAAATTGGAGAAATAAAGCAGACCAACCATATCAAAATTAAAAAAAAAATAATAAATTCCAAACGATTATCAAAATATTCAAGTCCATGTTCAGATATTCGTCGTGTACTAAACACTTCAGGATTACGATCAACTTCATTATCAGTGATATAAAACGGAAATCTTTTACCCACTTTTAAAGTAAATAAAGAAAAAATTCTGATATTTAACACGTGTGCTTTTGATTCGCTTTTAGTGGCAATAACAATAAGTTACTTCGATAAAAAAAGTTAAAAGTTATATATTGATAATAATAAAATGAATCTTTTTATAAGATTATGCAAAGATGTAGCTCTTCATGGGTCAACAAGCATTACTTATCAACAATGATGTAATTTGCTGCTGGAAAGTGGATTTTTTAAAAAGTCACCAGTAGAATCCGGAACCTCAATGTTGGACGCAAATATCAATATTATTGCTTTAAGTAACAAGCTTCATTCTGATATACAATATACATATAGCAGTATACAAATATTGGAATGCATCAATTGTACTACAAAAACCATTTTCATGATGCAAAAATAATACTCAATGAATTGTTAAATAGTAGTGGACACTTAGAAGATATAAATAAATAAATAAATATGTTACGGAAAAAAAATAAAAATGGTGTCCAAACTGCAATAAAATAAGTAGAAATTCCAAAAGAGTATTGCAGGAACATATTTTATTGGAAACAGACGTATTTAAAGATAATATGATAAATGAAAATAAAATGTTGGTCAATGCCGATGTAAAACCAATTGATGGGTTAGTTGATACAGGAAGTGCTTATTGTATTATTAAACAATCAACAGCTCAAAGTTATAACTTAGTGATAAATCTTAAGACTGTTAATATGTATGTGTATGGAAATGCGCAATGTGTAACCAGTTATGGTGAAACCGAAGCAGTGATACGTATCGATGACGTACCTGAGAAAGTCAACCTGCTAGTAGTTCAAGATCATGTTCAAAGTCATGATATTATTGTTGGACGTACCTTTATTGATTGCGAAGACGTGTCATTTGTCAAAACTCAAGGGGAACTGAAGTTTACCTATGGTATGATATTTCCGTATAGTGGATGTGAAGTTCCTAAAGAACCCGGTACGAACAGTGAACATCGAGTAGTTATTAAAAACGATAACGAAATAATTCCAGCTTCGAGTGCCAAAATGGTAGATGTACTTATCAACAATGAAAACCTAAATGTTTTAATGATAAATGATAACTCAGAGGAAGATATTAGTTTACCTGCTGGTGAAGTAATTGGTAAAGTGCGATTCAACAATGATGTCAAGGAGGAAATGTTAAATCAGGTAACAGAAATCACAGCTAACATGGTGAATTATGATTCGTCGACAACGCCTGAAGAAGTACAACAACTAATTAATCTATTAAATCGTTATCGAACAAGTTTTGCGTTTGGTATATCTGAGTTAGGGTGTACCGATTTGATACAAATGGACATCATAGATAATAATCAACCTGTCGTGAGTAGACCATACCGTACTACCATTGATGAACGTACGAAAATTGATCAAATTGTTCGAGAATGGAAGGATGCTGGTCTAGTGACTGAAACTAAATCATCTTACGCGTCGCCAGTGCTTCTAGTGTCGAAGAAGGATGGTGATGCCAGATTAGTAGTCGACTACCGTAAAATAAACGCTCAAACCGTACGTAAGGTATATCCTACTCCAAACTTAGATGAACATTTAGAGGCGCTTTGTGGTGCTAAATTATTTACTACGTTAGATTTGGCCTCTGGATACCTTCAAGTTCCACTGAGTGAACAAGCAAAAGAGAAAACTGCCTTCATTACACCAAATGAAACTGGACAATTTGAAAGGATGGTATTTGGACTTGTGAATGCTCCTTATGAATTTTCAAGATTAATGCAACGAGTAATGCAGCCACTTCGTAATAAGGTCGCTATGTGGTATTTAGATGACATTTTAATACCGGATACATCATTTGAAGATATGTTAAGTCGTTTACAGAAGGTGTTAGAAGCTCTACGGAATGCAAACCTAACTCTCAAGATGAGCAAATGTCATTTCGGTTTTAAACAAGTCACCTATTTGGGATTTATCTTGTCAGCTAATGGATTAGAACCAGGAGCTCAAAAGGTGTCGGCGATAAAACGAATAGAACCACTAAAAGACCGCCATGAAGTACGACGTTTCTTAGGACTGACAAGATTCTTTCGACGGTTCATACCAAAGTATGCACAAATAGCTGCACCTATAAGTGAATTATTAAAGAACACAGTACCGTTCAGTTGGGAACATAAACAAGAAGAAGCATTTCAAACATTAAAGAGGAAGTTAACTGAAAGCCCAATACTTCAGATATTCAATCTGACAAGTGAGACGGAAGTACATTTTGACGCGAGTAGTCTGGGGTTAAGTGGTATGTTATTGCATCGCGGAACTCATGGACGACTTCACTTAGTTCATGCAGTATCTAAGAAGACCACTGCGGTAGAGAAGAATTATCATTCTAGCAAAATGGAACTCATGGCAGTTGTATGGAGTATCACCCGCCTAAGACCGTATTTGGCTGGTATGAAATTTACAGTGGTGACAGACTGCCAGGCATTGGTTCAACTAAATGCCAAAAAGACGTCAAATCCTCAGATAGCTAGATGGGCAACACTTTTGAGCGAGTACGATTTTGAAGTGAGACATCGTCCAGGTGATAAAATGGCTCACATAGACGCGTTGAGCAGGGCACCCATCGAACAACCAATCGACACCGAAACTGAATTAATAAGTAATAAAATGGGTGTGATGCTTACCATGACAGAAGATGAATATGTGATAACCATGCAAAGGAATGACCGAAAACTGAGAGATATAATAGACACTCTCTCGAAGACAAGTGAGTCAGCAAACCAGCAGTTAAATGATAATTATGAGTTGAGAAACGGAATAATGTATCGAAAAGTTCAAGTGAAAGGAGAACTACGTTCATTGTGGATAGTTCCAAATGCAATGCGGAAGGCGATAGTCGTCAAATTTCATGATCAAATGGGAAATTTTGCGGTTGATAGAACAGTGGACAAGATACTGGAACAGTATTATTTTCCGGCGATGAGGAGGTATGTTAAATATCATATAGAATGCTGCCCGGAGTGTGTATTGACTAAAATACCACGAGGAACACAAAGATGGAGATTGCAACCAATTAAACCTGGTCGAAGACCGTTTGATATTGTTAATATAGATCATTTAGGACCATATATTAAAAGTACTCAGGGTATTGCATATATAATTGTGATAATAGATAATCTAACCAAATATGTAAATTTATATGCGGTCAAGAATACTAGTACACAAGCCTTACTCAAAGTCATGAAAATGTTTGTATTAATGTATGGTATACCACGGAGAGTGATCACGGATCGAGGGACAGCTTACAAATCCAGACAGTTTGAGATGTATTGTACGGAACAAGGGATTAAACACTCTCTCATTTCAGTAAGACATCCACAATCCAACGGGCAAGTGTAGCGGGTAAATGGAACATTGGTTCCATTATTACAAGTGACTGCAGAGACAGAAGCAACATGGGACAAGAAAATTGCTGAAATGGAATGTCAATTAAATAATGCAGTGAACAAAACAATTGGAGACACGCCGTTTCATGTGTTATATGGATATTATCCAAGTATAACAGATGGAGTTTTAAGTCATGCGGTAACAGAAACAAAATATGAAGATGTCAACTTTCTTCAACAACAAATCAGACACCGGATATTAGCAGAACATAAGTTGTGGACAGAGAAGCATGCATCTAGTCATGGGAAACCAGTGCAGTATGAAGTAGGAGAAGTTGTATTTCTAAAAAGGGCCACTACAAGTACTGGAGATTCCACAAAATTACAACCAAGGTATAGGGGACCGTTGGTGATCACCGAAGTGCTCCCACATGATGTGTACCGTGTTGTAGCTATAAGGAACCGAGACAACCGACAATATGCAACAACGGCTCATGTAACTAATTTGAAAGGCTACCATCTAATTGATGAAATGGAAGACCAACAGTTCAGTGAATAAGAAGGAGTTGATGAAATAGTGGACCAACCAATCAGTGAACCTGGTGAAGCGGATGATGAAGAGCCAACAGTACAGGATGAACCAACAGAAGAGGACGAGGTCGTTCAATCCAAAGAGAGACCAGTGAGGGAGAGAAAAAGGCCTGCATATTTGACTGACTATTACAATTGAGACTTATATTATATTGTTGACTTATAAAATATATTGTTATTAATATTTTTTTTTATGTATGATTAATTTTTTTTTTATTAATATGTATGTTGTTATTTATACCTTTCTATGTATGATTAATTTTTTTGTTATTATTATATCTAATGTTGTATAATGTATTTTATTAAGAAATCAAGTGAGGACACTTGCGTCAGGATAGTTGAGTGTTAAATATTTTTTTTTATTGTCTAAGGTAACACTGACTAGACCTATGTATTGTAATAATAGACAGAGTTAGATTCATAGAGTAGTAGTGAGATGCGGGTATGCGACGTATCGTTATATTGTATCGTTTTTGTATACTTTTATATTTTATTCGATTGCGTTCTATTAAAATAAAAGGTTATTGTTTGTGATTATTACCTGTGTTGTTTTAAATAGTTAACATATGTAAGTATGAATAATACTATAAACTGGTATCGGCCCCCTGGATATAGACCGGATATCAATAAAGATAATAGTCGATGTAGAATAATAGATTTATTTGTTTAGTTCAGTTGATTATTATCCGTCGTTGTTTTTGCATCTCTCAACCATGCAACGTCCGTCGAATCATACGTAAAACGGTCGTACGCGTATATTTTATATTATTGTATAATGCCGAAAGTACAACAGTCTACGAGTAGCCAACTACAAAGTTTTGTTTCGGAATTTAAAGATATATTTAAATCCGATGGACACGTTTTATATTGTGTACTATGGGTAGGGTTGCCATCCGTCCCGATATATCGGGACTGTCACCGATATTGAGCTCTTTGTCCCGACGTCCCGACAAAAGACGAAAATGTCCCGATGGAAATTTAACATTGCCAATTTCGCTTTATCGCATTCGAATATGCAAGAATCATGATTTAGAACAACAAGTTTTTTTTTCAACTCGTTAGATATCGTTTACATCGAACATTTTCGTTTGTCGTCAATATTTTGATTATTTTTGGAATCGTATCGGTCGTAATTGATCGGTACTGCGATTAATGGATTCATGGTATTTACTAATCGATTAGGGCACGTGGCACACCACACACGGCATAATTCGATAATAATTGTCAGTCAATCGTCACTCGTCAGTCGCTTTTATGTACTCGACCGCGTACTCGAATGCGTGTAGTTGACGGCGTATGGTACGATGTTTTCTTTCGGAAAGTACATAATTTTAAATATCTATACGTTCGTTTACGAAAGTGTCTGCGGCGAAAAAGAGAAAGTGCCATATTTCGGACGATTTTACGAAAGAGTGGAGTTTTATAAAAAAAGGGCGTACGGATGAAGAAGCGCTTTGTGTTATTTGTAACTGTTTTTTATCAGTTACTCACGGAGGTAAAGCTGACGTAAAGCACCACATTTCTACGACTAATCACAAAAAAAAATTCGCTGTTGTATCGACATCATCGCCCATATCCAAATTTATGATTAAATAAGATACCCAAGAAGAGTTGCTTATTACGGCAGCGGAACTAACAACAGCTTATAAAGTTGTAAAACATCACCAGTCTTTCAGTTCACTTGATTGTATCGTAAAACTGAATGCCACGATGTATCCCGACTCTAAAATTGCAGCTAAACAATCCACAGCTAGAACGAAGGCTACAGCAATAGTTAGAAATATTCTCGCACCACATTCTGTCTCAGAAATAAAAAAAATTGCAAGAAGTTTCATATTACGGAATAGGTACTGACGCGTCCAATCACAAAGCTGAAAAAATGTTTCCTTTACTTGTTCAATACTTCACTGAACACGATGGTATCCAACAGAAGCTATTGAAGTTTGGTACTTTAAAAAATGAAACATCGGAAACTATCTCCGATTATTGTCTCGACACTTTAAGACAATTGCAGATTCCATTGGATAAGCTAATTGCTTTTAGTGGGGACAATACCAATACCAATTTCGGAGGGCTTCAACGACGCGGTCAATGCAATGTTTTTCATAAAATAAAAGAAGACCTGGAAAAACCAATAGAAGGTATTGGATGTCCAGCCCATATTCTGCACAATACATTATCAAGCGCTTCTGGAATATTATCAGTAGGTGTAGAAGTTATTGTTCTTAAAATTTTTAATTATTTCGCAATTTATACTATTAGGACGGAGAAACTGAAAGAGTTCTGTTCATTTGTTGATATTAATCATCGGACTCTTTTGTCACACTCACGAACAAGATGACTGTCATTAATGCCCGCGGTTGAAAGAATCATGAAACTTTGGACACCGCTCAAAAAATTTTTTGACTCGGAAGAAAGAGTGCCTAAAATTATTTCAGATTTTTTTAAAAGTCCGATTAATGAAATTTATTTCCTGTTTCTGCATTCCAACTTGACTTTCTTTGAAAAAAATATAAAAAGCGTTGAAAAGAACAAAGTGTCAAGAATTGAAATTAGAAAAATACTATACGAAACACAAAACACTCTAATTGAAAGGAAATCTACTAAATTTATTGGCTTCCAAACCAAAATGAAAATGCAGAAACTTAAAAATGAGAATCCTACACCTGAAACGACAATTTTGATTGCAAAATTTGAAGAAGAAACAGTATCATTTTTTAACACCGCTTATGAGTATCTGAAAAAGTGGTCCGTTTCATTTGATAAGTATGAAGTATTTGACTGGATGACGCTATCTGAAACCCCGGAATGGGAAAAAATTGAAAACACTATTTTATATCTCAATAATAATGGTGTTACTTTGAGCGATAATCTATTTAAGCAATATATATATCTTAAGAACTTTTTAGAAGTTAAACTTGATTCGGAAGAATGAAAGGCGATCAATTCGGTGGAAGAGAAATGGATTTATTTTTTTAAAGAAACTGAACATCGTGAAAGAAAATGCCAATTGTTAAAATTATGCGAGTATTTTTTTGCAATCCCTGCACACAATGCCACAGTGGAAAGAGTTTTTTCGTTAATGTCGGCCCAGTGGACTGATGAACGAAATCACCTGCTCTCAGAGACTGTTGAGTCTATATTACAGTGCCAAGTTAATTATAACATGACTTGCGCAGAGTTCTACATATATGTTAAAGGGGAAAAAGAACTGTTGAAAAAAGCAAAATCATCTGAAAAGTATGGCCATCCAAGTACTTCTGCAATAAATTAAAAATATTTTTTTTATATCTAACTTAAATAAATAAATAAATAATTTATATAAAATAAAGAACTCTAATTTTTATATCAAAATTTGAGTATTTGTATACACTCCATCCTGGAATTCTTAGAACGTCCCGACGAGACCTTAGATAAATATGGCAACCCTAACTATGTGATCCTTTTTTTTTTTTATGCATATAAATGCATATTATAATGATTTTAGAAGCATATTTGTGTATTTTTAGAACTATAAGTTAAGCTAAGCTTAGTAATAACTAATCTACAATTTTATCATTCAATATAAAATAAATAACTAAATAAGAAATTTAATTTGTATATTTACTTGCAAAAATTGGTTCTAAAATAGTTTTCTTCTTCTTTTTCGGTAAACTCGGCCACTAGGACCATCCCGACATACATCCTTGCCTCCAGTTTTCTCTATTCGATGCCTGTAATCTCCAATCTTCTCCTCCACCTAATGCTTTCACATCATCCCTAACTCCGTCCTCCCATCTCCGACGTGGTCTTCCCAGCGGTCTTTTTCCATTAGAGTTCTCCTCCAGTACCATACGTACTAAAATAAAATAGTTTTACATAGCATTTATTATTAATTATGAACAATGATAATTTATTATGTATATAGACATATATTACCTACATAATATGCATGGGAGTGAGAATTATTTATAATTTCATAGTATACGGGAAGTCTCATGCCCGTATTACTATTGTTCTGTGGTATTAAGAACGCCGAAAGAGCATTTACTAGAATATTAGAACCAGAGATAACGCACCATAGGTCTAACTGGTTATTATTGCAGCTGCGTGATAGATGGTTTATAAACACTAAAATACAGAAATAACTGTCGATAAGAAAATAGCAATATTACAATACGCATTAAGCTGTACCTACACAGAAATTGATCGTTCTCCATCACCATTCAATCGCCTTAAATTCAATATTTATATATAAACTATGTCCATTTTTTATGTAATCATGTGCTCTAAATAATTGTCATTACCGGACCCCAATTCTATGAATTCGTACTTTGATGTGTCTACATAATATTATTGTACAACAAAATAAATATTAGGCGTGAAACGTACATTATTTATTAAAACCTATAACGTGTTCATCGTCAGACCGTCTTCATATTTTTCATAATTTTGTTTATGACTTTCAATTTTATTTTATTGGTGAAATATTTTATATTTTGAAATGGATGATTACATAATGCAATCATTACCCAAGACCAAAAGAGTTCGCTTACAAACTGATGAAAACGTAGATATAAATATCTAGATAAAAATTATTTTATCTATCTATATCTAGATAATTTTTTTTTTATCTAAGCACAACACTGCTCATCAAGTATTTACTAAATAATATACAATCCAATATTTATTAAATTAGTTATATAAATTCTGTAGACACTTATACGATTAGTAATGAACATGAATACGTGTGATCAAAATTTAAGATTACAAAAACACGTGTAACGTACAGAACCGATAATCTATTGATTGATAGAACATAAAAACAGTAAATAATTGAAAATCGTTAAATTTGTGCTAAAATCCTTTATCATATAGTATATGACATATACCATATGTCACACACGGGCCACTATAGATTGGCATAAGAATATAGTATAATTATATAGTTAACGAAAGTAAGTATACAAAAATGTCTAAGGACTTGTGAAACAATACAAATAAACGATTCCACTTTTTTGGACGTAGTGAATTCTGGTCATGTGCAATGGTTGTAATAATATTATATGATGCGTTTAAAAAACATTGTTTTTTTTTTGTGTGTGAAATTTTTTATACAAAAACAATGGTGCATGATCTGTGTTCATAGAATTAGGTTCCGACACTTGTTGCACATGGGAATTCGGGGGTTTTCAAATTACAATGTTCTGATAAAACGCTGAAAATAACAACACATTTTAAAGATTTATCTCTGTTCGAATTATTTCCAACGAAATATTTAATCTCGCAAGTTACATCGAACGTGAAAATGAGTTGTATGACTTTATGTAATTGAATTTTTATTATTCACAATGTCATGCGTTCAACATTATTGAACATACTTGTTCTCAATGTTCGGACTCTTCTGGATAAATTATCTGGATAGTTATATATACAAATTTTGTCTAGATAAATAATAACAAGGTATCTGAACAATTTTCTTTGATGAATATTTTATTTACCTACATAAGTTCATCTAGATATATTTCGATTACTAGAAATCTGAAAAAAAAAAAATGATTAAATCATTTTTTAAATTTTCAATCAATGTTTATAAGTTATAAAACACGAATAAAATAAGTTACAAAAATATATAAATAACGTTACTGTTTTTTTCCGTACTGCATTTTGATACATTATATTAAATATAATGTACCGAAATGCAATAAAAAAATTACAAATTACAAATTTTGTATTGTTTATTGATAAAAATTGAAAATGTACCATTCTAAGAATGAACGTCTCCACTCAGTGCGGCTCGTATATATGTGCACAAGTATACGTGCACTACCAACCCAAACTCAAAAAAAAATTGAAAACATAAACCATAATAATACAACTAAATACCTGTAGCGTTATGAAGATTATTTTTCAAAATATAAAAATATAAATTCAGAATATTAAAAAAATAATATAATATTTACATTGGGTTATTCCGAAGGCCAAACGGGCAGGCGTTTGTCCGCAACGGAACGGTACCAGTGTGTGTTATAGTGGTGCAGTAGTGTACACTATTGCTATGTACATTTGTACAATGTAAAAATTAAAACAAGTCGAAACACACAAGACGCGTTATAATGGAATTTATGTGCACATTCGTTTCTGTATACATAACCAATTAAATTGTTATCGGCGAATTATTTTCGATGTCGTCGCGCCATTGCGCGTTGGCATCGGCATTATTATTTATTTTTACTCTCGTTTGTTTATTATATTCTGATTATTGGCTGATAACGTTTGTCATTATCTTAAATTCAAAACAACAATCGTGTTTCTGTTTACTATTGATGGCGCAGCAAGTGCCTAAAATAATAGATGGCTTGGCTTGTTCGCTAGTTAAATAAAAAGAATAAAAAAATATAAATATTAAAGGTGCGTAATAATAAATCGGTAAAAAATACAATAATATGGCCGAGTTGGTCCAACAATATAAATAAACAAATACAATGAATAATAATGATGCCTACAACGGCACACGGCAGTACTCAAAAATAATAATAATAATAGTATAAATATTTTATATAAAATGGTAACTAATTAACTAATAAATTAATGGCCTGGTTGGCCCAACAATATAATTAATAGAAATAATGAATAAAACTAAGTAATAGAAGCCCGTCGGCCTTTACACAATTAACACAAATATAGTCGACCAATACTCACACGTGACTATGTTGAATGGCTGATTGCTTTCACGCGACCGCACCAACCCGTGACTAGACAATTGCCTACTACGGCAGTGTTTCTCAACCTTTTTACTGTGGCGACCCCTTTTTTAAATTTAAATTTTTTAGCGACCCCTACATATATATTTTTACATACTCGCTTAGATTATCATTATAAATAATCTAGAGTCTATAGTTACTACAAGTACTGTACACGAGAAATATAAAAAATACATATTATAATATTATATTTATTTAAAATTAAAAAAAACGTACATTAAATATTTCATTTTATTATATAAATATATTTTTATATTAATATTTTTAATGGCTTGGTTGTTGCTGTTGATGTGATATTATTTCGTCAATTCTTGGTTTAATTGACTTCGTCAAGCTAATTCTCATAGCCGATGAAATTTCCAGACGGTTTCTAGTTTTATTTTTTATTGTTGTTAATGTGGAAAAACCATTTTCACACAAATATGTAATAGAAAATGGAATAAGTAATTTTAATGCTTCTTCAGCCAAACTAGGATATTCATTTTGAACCTTTATCCAAAATTGACCTATATTTTTATTGCTTCTGAAAATCTCGTGTAAGCCCACATCTGCACTCAATTCAATCAACTTTTCTTCATTTGTTAATGATAGTATATTTTGATCAGATTGTACGAATGGATTTATTACCCAATTACAATTTTTACGAATGTCTTTTGTGGGGTCGAAATATTTGGACATTTTTTCTCTTAATCTACCTAAGTGTTCTTCTATGATAATACACATTTCATTTATTTCATTTTTTGTTAATATATTTTCCTGAGTCATGTTAAAAAAATTTGGAAACATATCAAATGTGTAGTTTTTTACTCGATTTGTCCATAGTCTTATTTTTTTTAGGAATGCGTCAATTTCGTTGTACGATATAAAAAGATTAGTATGTGGACCTTGCATACTTAAATTTAATTCATTAAGAATTGAAAATATATCGGAAAGATATGCAAGTTTGGCTAACCACACATTATTTTCGAAATAATCACTAAGTGGTGATTTTTTGTCTCTTAAAAATATTTCTATTTCCGTTTTCAGTTCAAATAATCTAGTCAAAACTTTTCCTCGCGACAACCATCGAACATGAGTGTGTAATAGCAAATTTTTAAAACCTGAACCCATTTCTTCACACATCACTTTAAAAACGCGAGTGTTTACGGCACTAGCTCGAATGAAATTTACTATTTTTATGCATATATTTAGAACGTCAAATAGGTTTTCGTTCATATCTTTAGCGGCTAATTGCTCACGATGGATGAAACAGTGTGTTGATATAATGTTTTTATGAGCAATTTGTTGAACGCGTGTGACAAGGCCATTAAATTTTCCGGTCATAGCTACAGCTCCATCAGTACAAATACCGATACAGTTAGAAAATTGTTAATTAATTTTTTGGAAATGAGATGAAATGGTTTTGAAAATTTCTTCAGAAGTACAGTATGTTTTTAAATTTAAGCAACAGAAAAACTCTTCTTGTATATCGTTCAGATCAGTATCTACATACCTCACATACATCAATAATATAGCTTCATTATTTATATCAGTAGATTCGTCGAGCTGTATTGCGTAAAAAATTGATTTTTTGATTTTTTTACTAAGCTGATTTTCAATATCATTAGACATAGTATTTATTCTTCTACTTATCGTATCATTAGACATAGGTATTTTTTTAATCTTTGTCACGTGCTCATTACTAAATAATTATTCTGTACAAATATCAATCATACACGATTTTAACAATTTTTCCCCAATCGAGTATGGTTTTTTTGATTTAACTATGTGTAAGGCTGCCAAATAAGAACATTTTAGGTAGATTTTGTCTTCGACCGTATAAGTATTTATCATTTTTTTATTTTTTTTTAATTCTTCGAATTTTCTTAAAAAAAAGTCCCTTGTATTATTTTTATACTGAGCATGACTAGTTTCCATGTGTCTAATGAGCTTATTTGGTTTTAGTGATGCATTTGCTAATGTCATACCACAAATAACACATTGAGGAACATCCTTTCCATTCTCGTTTAAGTATGTAAAGCCATATTCAACGTAACTATCTTTATATTTTAATATTTTTACCTTTTTGAGTGATGGTTCATCAACATTTTGAGTAGTATCCAAATTATGTTTTTTTGTAATATTTGAGTTTTGATTATCAGAAGTCGATGTATTGTGCGGTTGTTTGAAAAAGTTCGTCATTTGCGACTGTTTACTCATATTAGAAATATTTTATAATAATACATAAAGTCAAATAAAGATAAAGTGTATAAAAATGTGAAATACAATATAAAAATGCAACTTATTAACCTATATTTTACAACGGCGCACGGCACGGCGATGTTAACGATGAACTGTGACATAAATATATAATAATATAATATGTGCAGTGTGCACTGCGGCCGCAGCGGTGGCCTTATCTTAGGTTGATACTTGATAATCTATATTCGACGTTTATTATAGATTCTTTAATAGACGTCATAGAATAATATCGCTTTAAAAATGATAATAGTGTGTTTTCCATTTTAATATAAATAATCTATACTCGTAA